TTGGTTAAGTATAAAATTATGAAATAGTAAAAAAGTGACTGTAAATTTCAGCCAAATATTCGAACTTTATCAGACAGTCAAATTATGAAAATAAATAAACTAATTTGTTCTACTCGTCGAATAGATTAGATGAATGAAAATTGTTGTCCAAAGATAGAAGGAAAAATCGAATTTTAGTACATAAGGCCGTTGCTCGAGCGCTAGCCTGGAGCTAGGTCATTGCTTTGGGCGCCGAAGCAACACAACTGTGGCGGGGCAAACATCATGAAAGGCAGCGACCTTTCACCTACCACAACCCCTCATTCTCTTTAAATTGGACACCCTTTTTGTTTTTAAATCATTCCATATCAAATATTTCATTTGTGTTACATCAAAACACTTCATAAAACGTGGTTTTTCTTGCATAAAAAATTATGGTCGTGGTAGAGAGAAGATTTCATTTCAAGTTCGTTGGTCTACGTAATTTAGAATGCTCTTATTGAAAGACGTGATCGTTGCATTTTGGGAGACCATTGCCGAAAAATCGTTAGATCGATGAAGGACAAAATTGTGTTAAAAAGAAAGAATCAAACTCTTGCATCGACCAAATCATATGAATTGCATTTCATCATTTCTAGAGTCAAATTCTTTTTATCTTTATTTCGATTTGATAGAAAGGCTAACTTTTATTTCGATTGCAAAAAAATCTTGATTGAAGAATTGAAATGTCTGATATGAAGAATTGACTTCTCATTTTGTCTTCACGTATTTGGCTTCGATAAGTTGAATTCTATTTGATTTCACGATTATGAGAAGGTACATAATATTGAATATAATATGCACGTTTATCGGTGTAATATCCCAACTGAGAATTCATGTAAAATGCAATAACTAGTAAGGTTGAAACATCGTGAATGGATGGTCGTTATTAATTATTTTTCTCCTAGAAGTCGTATTCGTGTGTATGGTCGTGAATTGGTGCTTTGGTTGGTTCATTTTTGTAGAACCAAGTCATCCCTAAAAAGGTAAACAAATAATTAAGTAGAATATGCGACAAAATATATTTTCAGGAAACAAATAATTGCAGTTGTACTGATTTTTCTAAGTAAAAACAAGTCCTTAGCAGATCTCCAAATTTGTTCCATGTTTAAACAGAAGATATATTTAAAGATCCAGAGGCCAAGAATCTGCAGTCTCTTCAATAGGATGATCTACCACTATTTCAAATCCGGCTCTGTTAAAAGCAACTGAATGGCAGTAATCACTAGCTGCCGGCGCCGATGTGAAACCTATTCCACCACCATCCATTCCAAATAACAAGGGATTCTGATACACGGCGACGGCGGTGCTTTCATGAATCTTTTCTGCCCAGCTAAGGCTATGGGGATCAAATCTAGCCTCGGTTGTGAATTGTTTGGTAACAGAATTGCTCATTAGTTCCTTGAATTCTCCGCCTCTGTCGGTGGCAGTGATGGCGTTTTCAGTGGGTGGTACTAGGGATATGGGTCGGTAATTAATATTTGCGGATGAAAAGAGATCACTGCAGTGGGAAACCGCTGGATTTATCATGGATTTCAAGTTGCTTTCTTGGTTCTGAGTCAGAAAAAGGTTCTGGTTTTGGAGAGCATGCATTGGACCTTGTGTTCTTGGTGTTTCATTTAATTGATTATTTTTCTTCTCCCCCACCTTGTGGTAAATTCTGCAAATCACCCATTCCTCCTGTAAAACAAACAAAATTATTGTCATTTGAGGATTATTATTATTAGTCAAGTGAGATCTTTTCCATCAATATCTGGAAAAAAAAAAAAAAGATCAAATCAAAGCCTAAAAGAACAAAACACTGCATCATGTAGGCAATTGGAGAAAAACTTCAAAGGACAGTCCAACATACAAGAACCTTTAATTCAAATCACCCTTCCCAAATTTTGAACATCTCATTTCACAACACCACTCTATTTCTAAGATTTGGCGATTTGAGTATTTTGGAATGTACGATACTGTTGGAGTTAGGGTGGGGTGGGGTGGGGTGGGGTGGGTTAGTAAGATTCAAGTGTGCGAGTAAACTCACTTTGCACGTGTGAGAGGAGGAAAAGTCAGTGAGAAGGCGGTATTCATGCATGATCCACTTGGTCTTCTGACCCCGAGGGGCTCTACCCCTGTAGAAAACTAGGGTTTTCTTCATTCCAAGAAGTGCACCAGTACTTGAAGTACTACTGTGTATCGCTCTATCTTTTCCTGTTGCTTTCCAGTATCCAGCACCGGTTGCTCTGTTTGTTCTTAAACCAGTTGGGTACTTCCTGTCTCGCAAGTTGAAGAAATACCACTCCCTTTCTCCCATTTTTGCAAATTCTGTAAAAACAAAAACATTATGGTTTATTTTTAAACGATACCATTTATACTAGAAAATGTTGGGCTGGAATGAGGCATATACATACCTGGAAGTTCCCATGGTTCACATCTGTTGAGGTCAACTTCAGGAATGCCCAGGTTACAGAAACTTCCATTGAAGACCTTTGAAGCCAGGTAGAAAGTAATAAGCTCCTCATCCGTGGGGTGGAACCTGAAACCTGGTGGCAACCCTAGCTCATTCACGTCATCTCTTTGGAGTTCACATAAAACATCTTCTATTGCCAACATCTTTACTCACTGGGTGTTTTTGGTTTTAGAAAAGGGATTTTAGGATGTAATGTGGGCTGTTAGGGCAAGGAGGAAGTACTATATAATGGCAAGCACTGAATTCGAAAGAAATGAAAGGGAAGAGGATTGAGAGATGGCAGGGACGGTACAAGCTGACACACCTGAAAGAGGTCCCAAAAGAGGCAAAAAAAAATATGCAGAGAAACAAGAGATTGTGTGGGAAGGTGGAAAGGGCGTTAGTAATTAATGCAAAGAAGTTTTTTGGAGAGATCTATGCGTGCGTTTGTGAATATTGTATAGATGAGAGAGTCAGATTAATTTTCAGATAACTCAGAAAGACATTACAGAGGGGGTGGGTGTGGACTGTGGGTGTCCCCTTAGAATAGTGTGATATGATCAGCCCATAATGCATCAGCATCATTCCCACTTAACATTTTTCTGCTAAGTACCCAAAAATGGTAAAAGAATAGGCTAAGACAAACCTCACCTTTTAATGCACCATATTCCCTAATTTGTGATACAATTAATGGGACTTTAGACTCGACATGAATTTGCAGGTTTCGTATGCTCAACTGATAGCTAGTGACTTTTTGAGAACATTTACACATCTGTTTTGACATATATTACACTATCTACCCTTATTTTTATGAATTATTATGTTTCTTGTACATTTGTGGTTGAAACCATCTTTGAGGATGTTTATGTGTTGAAAATTGTTTTGTTTTTTATATTGTAAGTGTATGATATCGTAACGAGTAATATAGTGGACTTTTGAGTCCGAATTATTGTTACCATAAGGATTAGACTTTAATGGTAAATTTACTATTTCTAACTATAATTTGATGAAAACAAACAAAAATTATGAATTGTTGAGATTTTTTATCTAACTACTACTAACAAATAGAAGTATCAAAATTGCATACAAAGATCGAATTGAAGTTTCAAATATGGAATAGATATTAGTAACAATTTCATCTATTGATCACATTTAAATTTTAATTCAAGATTCATAACATAATATATTGTTTCATTGAATTCTTCCATTGTATTCAATTTACTCATCTTGAATTCTCATTGAATCTATTTAACTAATTCAATCACATATCTCTATGTGAATCAATCTTAGTTAAACGAAATATTAGTTCTAAGAATTCATTTAATGACCGTAATAATTCGTATATTTATCTCTACAAATTATACTAAACTGTCGGATTTTAATATGTAGTCTAAATCTAAAATTCACATCTTGATTTGTAAAAAATTCACAACATCATTGAATCAGTGATCAAATAATTCAACGCATTAAATACATAAATAAGATCAACACATATATGGTAAAAACACTTGAATTTTGAATAAAAGAAATAAAAGGTTTCAATTCGATCTCATTGTTTGCCCTAATGAAAATATTTTCTATTCATAATGTATGGAGAAAAACAATTAACAATATGGGAATACATTACCGAGTTTTGAATTGATATGTGGAGGAGTAGATTAATTTTGGACTAAGTTCTCTTCTTGTTCCAAATCTTTATTCCCAACAGTTGATTTCTTGTTTTTCTCCTTTGATTTTGCTATCTAATTCTCCAACTCGTGTTCTATATATCTCAATATGTGGAACCCCCTAAAAGTGTCTTCATTCTTGTATTTATACTTCCGCCAACGTTTGTGCGAGATGTAGAGTTTTTATGAGTTACAAAACAGGCCAAAAACGCTCCCCAGGAGCTTAAGGCGACACTGGGGGGCCGCAAAGAAATAAAGGATAGCACCTCGAATTCACCTTTTTTATTTTTTTGTTAAAATTTAAGGTTTTGCGGCGCCTAGGCACCATGATGGTAGCGCCACAATACCGCCTCTCTGGAAAAATCAACATTGCACTTCATTTAGTATTTTTATTATAATTTTCTCTCTAAATATCATATTGAAGAGATTCAAATTGGATTGTAAAGATAATTTAAATGGATAAAACTTGACTAAAAATAGGTTTTTTCCAATTCGATCATTTATTGAGTGAAAAATGGGTCTCAATCTCGAGCTAAAAATCTGGAATATACTCGTACAATTGAAAATTGATTTGTGAAAATATTTTGATCATATTTTACTCTCTTTTTTTTACGTCTAATTGCATCAAATTGACCCCTAGTGTTCTTGAATCTCCATCGTGAGGTCCGACAAAATTTTTGAGTATTTACACTTTAGTCCCCAAACATTGGATCTTGTCATTTTCGCCATTTTTCACTTTTTCTTTTAATTCCACTTTCATTTATCGAGTTTCACCTAATAATACATTATATAATAAATTAATCTATAATTTCATTAAAATAACTACGAAATGTCCATATTTTAGAGTCCAAATAAGTGTATAAAATACACTTATCAAAAATCTAGTCATTGATTTTGAAAAATATTGTTAAATTGTTTTATACTATTTCAGCGGACTTTTGAACATAAAATTGTTGTTAAATACAAAATATATTAATTAATGAAAATTTTGAGGATAAGAACAATATGGACAATCATTAGAAATATAAATGCTATAATGAGTAAAGATTAAAAACCTTAAGCGTAATCAAAATGTGGTGCAAAAAAAAAAAAAAATCGTGGTGTGAATGTAATTATCCTAAAAGTAAAAAATAAAAACACGCATCCAGTTTTATCCTTTTTAGTTTTATACTATATTTAAATATGTTATTAAATGATATTTAACTTGCATTGTTTGTTTCATTTTTGTTTATTCTTTATGATTATTTCCTATTTCTAATTAGATCATTGAAAGTATTGCCTCTAACTTAAAAATAATAATAAATAAATAAAATAAATAAATAAATTGTCTCTACGAATATTTATAACAATGTCTAATTAGAATTATGTATTTATACTTAAACTGTATAATTCTGAAAATAGGTCGATTATACATTGTTAGTTTATGAATAAGTAAACAATTTGATAATAACAAATAACTTGTTAGATTTCTACTTTACTCTCTTTTCTAGTTAAAAAAACATGCATCAAATTTGTTCATTCTTTAAAAGTAAAGTCACGTATAATTACCTAAAATATTATTGAGGAGAAATCACTTTTCTTAAAAAGAGAAAATAAATAACTTTTTAAAATTGAAATCAATGTTTTTATCTAAATTAAAACAAGAAAAAAGTGAAAAAGACTTTTAAAATTCAACGTAGAGTACAAAGGGGTAACGTGTAGGTTTCTATAATAGTCAATAAGGGGATGTTCTTTTCATATTCCGGCTTTATGTTTTTAGTTTTGAATTAATTTTGAATTTTGTGTTTTGAGTGTCCATTTTAAAATTGTTGAAAACGTGTTCTTTTTGTCATTTTTAAAATTGTTTTGAAAACTAAAAAACTCCAAAATGCATTTACTTTCTTCCCTGAATTTTCTCACTCGTCTCTCTCTTCTTCCCTCTTTTTGTGGTGGTGGTCGTGGTTGGTGATCTGGCGGTTGTGTGGTGGTGGTGTATTGTGTTGTGGCGATTTTTGTGGTGGTGGTTGTGATGATGGTTCCGGCAATGGTGGTGGTTAGGGGTGATAGTAACTGAAAATAACGAAAACTCGTTTTGAAAATTTTGGCCAAGTTATAACTAAAAATACCAAAAACAATCGTTTTGAGTTTTCTTTGTAAATTTTAAATTTATTTTCAAAAATGCGTGTTCGTAAATAAGAAAGAGAACGCATTTTCACTATTTTGGAAAATAAAAAACAGAAAACGCCTTGAAAGCGACAGATAACAAGCCCTAAGTTTTTTAACCATATTATTAATATCAACGTATAATTGTCCATATGTGGCATGGAGAAAAAGAAGCATATATTTTTTGAATTATATTATTAATATCAATCTATTTTGAATATATCTTTTTGCACTATTAATATATAATATATAAGCTAAAGGATTATATTATAACAATAAGGGGGATTCGTATGTCATAGAAAATTGTTAATGCTATTGAGCGCACTACTTTTAGGGAAAATATTAAGGGGGGTGTTTGTTTGGGATTTTTTGGGGAAAAATTGATTTTTGAATAGTGATATGATGGGAAATGTGTGGTTGAAAAAAAAAGAAAAGATTATTAATGTGATGGAAAATATTATTTTATTGAAAAATGTGTAGTTGAAAATGAGAATTGATTTACTGTAAAATTTGAGAATCTCAAACAAACAAGCTCTAAAGTAAGATGCTTAAGTGCGGTGGTTAAATTTTTATTCTTCATGATATCTATGTATTGATTTCATTGAGGATGCGTTTGATTGCAATGGTGAAAAATGGGTGGAAAGAAAATATTTTAAAGGGAAATATTTGCCTAGAAAATATTTTGCATGGAAAATGATTTCAAGTGTATTTGATTGGTATAATTTTCTACCCGAAAATTTTTTAAATTTTCTATTCGTTTGGCTTTGTTTTACATGGAAATTGTCCATTGAAGTGATATATTTTTCCACAATTGGTTATAAAATTTGTTTCCATTGCCAAAAAGTTTTAAAAAAAAGGAAAAAATTGTTTCCTAAAAAATCATTTTTTTAATCAAAGTTTAGTATTCGTTCGATTTTGTTTTACATAGAAATTGTCAATTAAAGTGAATTTTTTTTTACCATTGGTTATGACATTTGTTTCCATTGCAAAAAAAAAAAATTCCAGCCAACCGGGAAAACATTTTCATCAAAAACCGGAAAAACGCACACGTGCGAGGAAAAG